CGCTTTTCACAAACATGCGAATTGTGAAGTTCAAAAGCCAACTGACGATTGCGGTTTTCGCTGCCGTCAATCATCTTAACGGACCTCCTAGGAAACAAAATTTTACTTAAACGGATTCAAAAGGTCATCGTTTGTGATTTGTGATTGGTGGATTTGGATCCGTTGTGTGTGTTTCAAGGTTCGTTGCTTATAATCGTAATTATGATTGACGGCAGCGAAAAACGCAATTGTGAAGGCGGCTTTTGAACTTTAGAGTTCGTATGTTTGTGAAAAGTGCAGTAATAGGTAACGCGTGTGAAATTATTCCCTAATTTCACTCGTCACCATTTGATTACACATACTCATATCCCGGAGTGGTTGTTAATGAACGAAACTTTTTTTTGCAGTAAAGAAAATATTGCTATTAAATATTTTCATAAATTATGACTCACATTTGACCCAGTTTGCAGGTGCATGACCCTTTGTTAGCCCCAAGCTGTTCAAAACCTTTTAAACTGTTTATCGACAAATAATAGGTCTTCCTTTTCCTACACGCGAGTCACAATAATGACAATATATTATTTCGAGAGCGCTTGACTTACATGTGATCAAAAGCACTTTGCACTGGAAGACCTAATTTTGCTATTTACATGCATGTTTTAAATATAAGGATACTAATTTGCTAGAAACAAGTTTACACTGACGACTCTAAATCCTAAAGATTATAAATTACTTTATTATTCATGCAAAATATTCCCCAATTCTGATTGGCTAAAAGCATGTAAAATAACTTCGAATCGTATACTGTAATTGAAATTGCTTTAATTTTCTTTGTGCCTATTTACAGTATAACCTAGCCCCGATGTCGATGTTGAAGAATGTTGCTTGAGTCGAAAAACTGCACAGATTATGTGAATATACATTAATTAGTTTCAAATGTCAATCGATTAGATCAAAGGTCCACTGTACAAACAAAACATTACATAACGAGTCGCAAAAAAACGTGACAGTTCACTTGGGTCCGCGTGTAACGTGCGCGAAGAATATGACGAAGCACACGCATAATTCACCATAACCAGTTACTGATGACCAAATTTGGAAGAATTTTGTGTTTAACGAGGAAATGACGTCAAAAATACAGCCCGCTTCAGGTTAAGCCACCTTTACCGAGAAGACCTGGGGACGAGGTTGAAATGTTTTGGTTGTAAAAAAAAAAAAGGCGGACATCTCTCTCGTTTCAAGAGTAAGAGCTACAGCTGGAACTAGGCAAAATAATAGCGAAAAACATGGCAAAAACAGCAAGAACACAACTCGGAGGGCGACATCTGTTATTTGGAGCATATTTGCGGAGCTGGGCAAACCTAAACGTAGGCGGGGCGACGGGAGTGAGGGTGAAATACTCCCCAAGCTTGGAGGTCAAAATATATTCCGATCTCTTTTAGAATTAAATGGCACAATGGACTTAACAGAAAAAGTGGGCAGATAGAGCTGGAACATAGTCTTTTGATACTCTTTTGTAACTGAGGAATCTTTAAATCCTAATTTTTACGTATATGGGAAATAGAATTCTGAATCAAATAAAGTTAACTTAACCCTTACACAGTGCTACGCGACTTACACACTTAATTCACGCACATTACAGCTGTTTATCTCCAATGACGAGACATAGGGATAGATTTCCACTGTCGAGTAATTTTCACTTGCGTACGCGCGCAAAATTTACGTGCATGAATAAAACAGAGGCTTGGCAATTCTATTCACGCACGTAAAAATTACGCTACAGTGGAAATCCAAATTTAAAAACCTAAAGGCTCACGAACCGCTCTGATTGGCCTCGTAGTTCAGTCGGTTAGAGCGCTGGTAGATCTAATACAGAGTTCGCGAGTTCAATCCTTTCCAGGAGCAAAACAATTCTCTTGATTCCCTTTTATCTCACTTAGCCTTATAGAACTTGCAGTTTAGAATTTAGCATTTTAGCGTTTCTCACTTTTGAACAATCACATTTCACACAACTTACACAGTAATTTCGCTTCTTACGAGGGCTACCCGCAGGAGGTATACACTCTTAACACTTACATATACTGGAGAAGTGTATCGCAATTTCCCTTAGTATAGAGTGTTAATCACACTAATAAAACATTACTTTCACAATCACGATAATTTCTTATTTACATTTTGTCAATGCCAGTTGGAAACGGTAACATAACGACAAGGTTCGTTGGGTTAAATTATTCCGCATTGTCTGCATTCAAAGAAAACAGAAAAGACTCGAATCTATATGGACAATCTCTAACACCATTCTGAGTTGGTAAGGGTTATAAAATATTACAGAAAAATGGATGACTTTCTATGTGCGACCACCTGTTATAAACGACCATGCTTTGGAATCTATTTTAAGTGCCACTTCCTGAGAGCGATCATCTCTTGAAAGTATTATTTTGTTTGAGACTCCTTTGTCTCTTACTTGTGGCAGCCCTGCTACTGGGCGCTAAGCATAAATGGCATAAAACAGTTGTTTTTCATCCGTTAGCAGCTGTTGCAGTCGGCAGTCGATAGCATCGAGAGCCGTTCCACTCAGTCCTTTGAAAAGGTTAACGCTCGGTAAAAAGTAGTGCGGTAGATCTTTTCGCTTTACACATTCTTGAACGTAGCTCAACATTCCGAGAAATCTCTCCGCGAGTTGATCCGCGCGCCATTCTGGGTCTGTGGTGAGGTAGTGTAAAAAAGCCGTTTTAAGCAAATAGAAATGAAAACTGCGCAGCTTTTTGTCTGAACTGAAAAGGAATTTGAGAATTTTTAGACATTCTAGTCGGCATGTGCTTGTTACAGAACGATCTAAACTGGATATAATTTCTCTTTCTTTCAGTGAGAACGTTCTTCTCCACAAAATCGAGCGCTCTGAGGTATTTCCGAGTTCAAACTTCGTACACTCTTTGAACGCGCATGGCACATAGTAGCGGTAATCTCCCGACTCATCCAGGAACCTTACACATGGAATTATCTGCGCGGTTACTGAGCCTCCTCTGTTAGTATCCCGGATGATGATCTCGATAGCTGGACCATTCTTATGAGTATAAACTCTGGATCCGTCCGAAGATCGCCTGGTTTTCTCCGTCCATTTCTGAGCTAGCCTGTCAAGCCAGACTTGCATTTTAGCTGGCTGCAAATAGCCATGTTTATCAGTGAGCCTTGCCAGCTTCGTATCGGCCTTATCTTTAACAAGCTTTATCTTTGAATACAATTTCGGAACAACCTCGTGAAGTGTTACATCTTCAGAACCCGTTTTCAGAACCAACATTACGTCAATCTCATTACCTCGTTTGCTTTCCAGCCTCTCGTACATTGTACCCCCGTACTCCATACCACTGACCACACCTGTCTCTCGCTTACAATACTCCAGTAGATTCTGAGTATGACTATACACAAGTTGTTTAGCCCACTGGATCTCGCTGGCAGGCAAACGGACTTTCTCTCGGTGATACTTTCGCAGGTTTGCTTGCAGTTCCTTTGGTCTTATTGGATTAGTTCTCAGTTCTGGCGCTGAAGCTACACTGTAAAGATAATCCGTGGAGGCGAACTGCGGGACACTGGATCTGAGTGAGGATGACGCCAGATCATCATTTGAAGATATGTCTTGATCTTTCCTAAAAACAAGAGGGCATGATGACAGGACTTTTGGCTGCCTTATACTTGTAGAACCTCGAAATAAAACTCAAAGCGAGGCGTCTTTTTCTGGGAAGGCGATGACATGTCCTTCGATTGCTCTGCCGCCATCTAGTATGATGAAAGTGACTGAGAGTAAAAGCGTGCCAAACAAGTATTACAAGAGAGAGGTTGACAGTCTTCTCCCTTATCCTACTTATTTTTCCAAGATGGCGGCCTGACGCGATTAAAGGAGGGGAGGAGGAGGAAGAGGAGGAGAAAACAAACCTACTAACTATCCAAATGAGATTCTACCTGATTTCCATGGTGGATCCTTGGTTTCCCATTTCTATGAACAAGGCAAAGCATCACAGTAAGGAAAAACCTTTGGATGAAGCAAAAATTGCAAAATTATTAGATCTGTTAGATAATATATTGGCTGGTTTAACAGAATGAAGCAAAAGGGTTTACACCCCATCACTCTGCCATTATTTGGTCCAGAAAAAAGAAAAATTTCATGCTTGAATCTTGGGACCACAGGCTAGATTTTCAAGTCCCGAAATTGGGCAATACTGAAAGGCTTTATAGCAGGTAAACGTATTTTAGCTGACTATATTCATCTATCTCTTTAATTTACTGGAAAAAAACATGAGTTGGGCCAGAATGATTTCATTTCAGATAGATTTAGTATAATAGTTCATTCATAAAATAAACTATCAATGACAAATGGAAGGAAAAAAAATTCTTTCATTTGCGGATACGATATGTTCTTGTTTGAGCACATCCTAGTAACAGAAACTCTACTTACTATTTATTCATTGAAGATTTCCTTTATTTTACGTTCTGTTTCGGTTCAGTTTGCTGTCATTAGGTGTTCAATCTTTCAACGGCCGCTTGCGCAAGAGTAGACTAGACTAAACTCTTATAGATCATGATAATCAAATCGTCTTTCAATTATTTTTACCACTGAACAGCAGTTTGTAATTAAGCCTTGCCACACGCTGTAATAGCTTTTTTGCAACTTTTGCTTTTTGTTAACGCCTGCTTACCAACGACCTCTTTTTCTCTACGAACCAACGATCTCTTTTCGATTACGAGTGCGAGTTCGGGAACGAAAATACGAGAAAGAACTCGTACTCCTTTTCGTTCTCTTCATCAGCGTCATGGGTGATAATATATATCCCTTGGCTATAAGAAATGAATCACGCGGGTTTTTCAGGAGTGCAGCCATAGTTGTTCATGCTTGCAAACACAGTTTTTGTTATTCAAATAATGCCAACCATTGAACTTCAAGACCCAATAAACCGGAAAATAACCCCAGTCGATACATTTAAAAATATCGACAGCTGACGTAACATGACTAACATGCACATGATCTCCATTCTCTGACTCTACGTAGAAAAGAAAGTTGCAATAGATATAACAGAAATAGGTTAACGACGCTGATATTATAACAGCAAACTATAACCAGTGAAGCTATTCTGTACCTTACATTAATTTGCATTTTGCTTTCTAAAAATCTGGTTAATAGGAAGTTTGACGTTTGCGAGGAATTATCGCACGCCTCTTTATTCGGAAACGGCGAGTCGGACACAAAAATTATCTGACGACTTATTCACCTTACGGAATACGCTACACGGTCTGATATTGACGATTTCAACAAAAACACCTGTACTATCGTAGAATATCAGCCCATTTATATTTTGCCCGGCTCGTATTACGGCAGTCCGGGTCGACCGCAAATTTAATACATAGAGCTCTCAAGATACCTATGTCAAAGTTAAAAACCTTTAAATTAACGAAAAGTAGTCATACCGCGGGAAAGAAAATTCAAACAGAGTTTACATTACCTACCTCTCGGTTAGATATTAACCTTATTAACTTCGAAGGCCGACTAAATTTGTTGTTTACCAGCCGCACTTCGCGAGAGTCCCATGATACTGTGCAAGACGTGCAAACTCAACCCGACTAGGCTTGGCTGCTAAGCTCAACTTTGTGAACACATTTCCAAGGAGAATATTGCGGCAGAAATTCGCTCTGTTTTCCACTTTTGAAGCGATGAATTCTTCTGGAAAGGACGTTAAAGTTCGGAAAGATCCTTGGGCAAGATTTGAAGCGTGGAGATATCATCCAGCGATTAACAAGCACGCAAACATTCGCAATCTTATTCCTGGGTTTTGGTTCGGAGTTGGGGCTTTCGTCATTGCTGTTGGGATTGAAAAACTCTTGGAGAAGCCAGATGATCATGGGGGACATCATTGACAACAGGACGGTAGAAAATTACAGCCTCTCGGAACTCTAAAGACACGTTGTTTTGCTGTGGATTGTGTACAAAGAACCTTGGGAAGTTTTACCACAAGTCGTATAAACTTGCATGAATTGTCTTGCCGCATACATTGTTCTACCCATCACAAGTGAGAACTTAATATCATCATGGAAAATTAGAGTTGAACAACTTTTTGGAGTGTAATTTCCCATTTCTAGTAAATGTGAATGCAACAAAATGCATGTAAAAGATTATCTGATGTGGAAGTTTGGATCTGTTATTCAAAAGCTATTATTTTCAATACAGTCAGTAAAATTTGATGATGTATTTTGTGTTAAGTATAGGATTAAAATGGTGATGATTGTTAATAATAGTTGTGCATATGTCATTGGCTTGTCCCAGGGGTTTGGCCCCAAGGCTAACCAGAGGAATTGTAAAATGGGTACTGCAAAATTGACAATTTTCCCATGTGGGGGGAATTTAACCAGACAAAATCCCTAGGCATAAATGCTTCTCAGTGAGAAAAATCACCCTGATGTACCCATCATTTAACTGGGATTCATTTGACTGAGGGGGCTTTTTTGGTAGCCTGAGAACATAGTGGGATTTGTCATACAAGACTAAAAACAAAGACCTCAGAAATACCCAGAGAATGAATTTGGCTGTAAAGCTGCAAGAAAAATGGAAAAAAAAAATCCTTTGTCTCTCTGCCAAGAGAAAGCACTTCTGCACTCTCATCCCTCTAGCTACCCAGGCTATGATTAGTAGTTTAACTCATTTAATTTCTTTATCGAAAAAATCATCACAATAAAAGGACATGTTAAAACGATTCAGATTCATGGATGCTTGGAGGTCAGGGACTACCTTCTCACTATTGTTTATGAGAGTTATCATGAGAAGTCATTCATGGAGGATAAGAGGGACAGCAGACAGAGAAGCCAAAATTAAAAAGCCATAGAAATTCACTCCCTTTATTGCTGACAATGAGGGACCTCAAGTTAGTGTCCCAATTGGTGAGGGTCCATAATAGCAGGAGCTTATTTCAGGCAAATGTCTGTAACTTATCTTGGGATTTAGCAAACATAAGCTAAGCAAATTTCACTTTCATGGTTTGCAATTAGGTGTATGGTAGCACAAGATAGTCAATGGAAGAAAGCATACATTTGCCTTTCTCCCCCCTTCCCCCCCCATCCCTGAAGTGATGTTGTCTACTTAACAGTTTAACATTATCAAAGCCTTTACAAACTAGGGGGTGCAAAGATTTTAGGGAGCTCATTGTATTTGAAAAGCCGAGGGTTTTTGGGTCCAGAGGGCCCATTGGACTGGTCTCTGTATCTTAAAACCAGAAATGTTTCACCTAGCTGCAGAGAAATCTTCGTTTTAGAGCTCTTGGTGATGAATTTTTATTTCCAACTTTTATGCATGCATGTTTTGACTTTTTGGAGCAAAAAATGGGGGGGGGGGGGCACCCCCTGGCCCCTCCCTATGATAAAGCCTTGCAAAGACAGAGATTATCAAAGTAGTAGCTCTCCAATATGAGATCATTTACAATGATCAGTAATTTTCACCGTTTACCAATGTTGCATGGGAAATTTGTCACCAGTATTACTGTTTCTGCTACATGATATCATTGTCAGCTGGGACAATAATGTTCATTGTAATTTTACCCATCATTGTCAAGGAAAATTACAAGCCAAAGGTAATACTAAAGAAAAGTTGTCAGGGCAGATGAGTTATTTTAAATGAGGCTCAGTGAAAGAATCAGATGAAACTGTTGCATTGTCCCAAAAGAGTATTAATGATCAAAATAAGTGCTGTAATACTCTTCTCTAAGATAGCACAATAAATTAAGACTAGCCTGCAAGGGAGACACTTGGGAAATATACATTACGGCACAAATAAGCCACAACACAGGAGGACGCAGGTGAGCAGAGAGGAAGCACCTTCCTGAGAGGACTTCAAAATCTACCCCCTATCAAATAGCACGCCTCTGATTACCTGTCAAAAAGATGATTTTCCTGTTGTTTTGATGTTAAAGCAAAAATGGAGAGGTCTGCAAGCTGGCTTACCCCAGTGAGGATTATGGGAAAATTATGACTAAGACAAAATATCTTTATTCGTAAGCAAAGCACTTCAATGTATGTGAAGTGTGTGGAAAAGTAAGTTGCTAAATTATCAATCATTTAGACGGTGTTTCATCACAAGATCAAACACTGAGAAAGGAGTTAAAAAATGATGCGCAGTGGAGTGGTTCTTACATGTATGTTCTAAGCTTTAACGTGCTACCTGGTCTCAGAGGGGTTCCTTGGTTTTTCTTATGTCTTTTAATATCTTTATCCCTTGAATACCTCTTGTAAATTAAAACAAACAAGAGCTTTTACTTTTTTCACTTTTCAATCTTGTGACCTTTTTTGCATTTTCACTCTCATAGGTGCAAGTCAATATTTAATTATTATTGGTTTCGGTTGCTTTTTCTATGAATCTGAGTAAATCAACAAAAAAAGAGAACTTTTTCATCTCATTTTTGTAACAGTTTTCAAATTTGCTTAAATTTACCTTAAAAAAAAGGTTACTGTTACACTGAGAGAGTAATAATTAAACATCAGCTCTTCTCTTCACCTTGGCTGACATACTGTGACAAATTCTCAGCTAGGTTAGTTTGGTTTTGCCCAAGAAGGGTTGTAAGTCTTCTAGAAGGCTCAGATAACACATGTAGTAGCTGGCCATGAAGCTCTGTTAATGACGGCAACTTAGAATAATCCACCAAAGACTTTCTTGACAAAAGCCGATTATCAATTTTACCTCCTAATAACTCCACTTTAGGCTGTTTCTTCACTGCTGACAGCAATGGCTTCACCTTAGCTTCTTTGGAGTAAGTGACAAATGTAGATGCCAAAAATAATGGAGTTATTTCACAGTACTTTGTATTTTCTAAAGCTTTGCATGAAACTCTGTTGGGGAACATCTTGACTGTTATTTCATCTTTACCAAGATTGAAGCGTAATTCTTCCCATTCTTGAGTATTCAAATCACTGAAGTGACATACAACAACCATGTTATTGGAATCAAACACTTCCCTGACTTGATCAGCTATCATGAGCTTTCTCGGATTTGGCTGAAGAGAAAAAAGATGGGGGCTTTTAGAAGTGTTCTGGGTAAGGGAAAGCTTCCTATTGTTCTGTTGGACTGAAGAGCAGCAGTGAAATGTAAGTGATAATGGGCTGAAGAGGGCATCAATAGTGAAAGGACACAGTTGAACAAGATGTAAAGTGTATAAAGCTAAAGTTTATATAATGCATCGCTTGCATCAAACAAGTTCAAATGAAAAATGCACCCCATTAGAGTGTGACTACCTGAACCAGGCCACTTGGAAGAAGATTGTCCAATCACAACAATTTCTGAAAACAAAAGATTCTCAAAATTTTTGCAAAAGGACCAAAAACATTCATAAATTTGACAGCTGTTTCCTGAGAAGTCAGGTAAGTTCAAACAGTTTTAAAGTTTTCAATGGATGCATAGTTTAATGCGTAGTTTTGCAAAAAACTTGAGAGTCTTCTGTTTTCAGAAATCGTTGTAAGAGAATAAGTAAGCTGAAAGAGACTGAAAAAGAAAAGAATGTATTTCTCATTACAAACATGCTTTGTTACTATAGATTTAGAAAAGCTGAAGAGTGGAACTCCCTTAAAATACATGCACCAACTATTCACCTGAAACAAAAAATAATCCTTAAACCACAGCAAAGAAATTGACAAATCAAATTTCCTACCAAATTTCTTCCAATGCAATAAAAATCAGAAGCTTGAGCCCATGATTCAACAAAATATTAAATGGGCAATAAAAAAAACATATGGATTGCCCCTTCTATTAACATCATCAAGTGCTACTGCTTAGCTTATGTTACACAGTATAGGTCAAAATCTAATTCATGTTAAAATTAATTTATTTTTTCAACTTAGATTGATTCTCAAATTCTTTTGAGAAAAGGAAAAATTATTATTATTCATGAAGGGCTAAAAGACAAAGAAAAATGAGAATCAACTAAAATTTAATAACCTGAAATCAATTTTGATCTACAACAGATATGTTGTGGTTAATTTTTTTATGCTAGGTAATTTTTATTTTTTCTTTGTTTCAACTTCATTAGCATACAATAATTACCTGGGATAAAAAATTAACTACTACACATACTGTACACCTCCATTTTGACAGCTATTAAGTGACTTGGCTATTGATGGTGTATTCAGTGGCATATATTTCATTATAAAAAATATTCAGCATATCCTCCTCCTTATGTATGGGTAAGTCTGACATTTTACATTGGTTTACATGTGGTGGTACACATGGATAGGCTAAATAGTCACATGATAACCGGAATTTCTTACCCAAGGTGACCGTCAACATGTGCCTTTGGCATGCAGAGCTTTGCTAGTAAGGTTCTACCCCATAAACAGATTAAATAATTTATTGTAAGTGGGGTACAGCGAAGGGCATCAGGTACAACATAAAGATTTTCACACATTGTACTTAAGATAGCCCAAGCCCTAGCCTGATAAAACAGCCAACATTTTATGGTGACACCACATCGCAAAGCAGCAGCTGTTATCTCAGGCTACCCAAGACCATGGATGAAGAAAATTTTCACATTGATGTCAGATGAGCTAAACTAAAAATGCTGGGTCACTTATTTTCATAGCACTTGATAACAAAAGCATCTATTCCCCACTCCAGAAACTATAAAGGGGAATGGGTACAAGCTTTTGGTGCAAAGATTTCTGGGATCATTTGGATGGACAAACATTAGCTATGATTGGTTGATGGTATCCAAGGCAACCATTAACCCATCATAAGTAATCCTTGTCCACCCAAACCTTGCGTTGGAAGCTTGTACCCATTCCCCTGATGGTTTGTGGAGTGAGTAGAATAGTGCAGTTTCGAATTAAAAATTACCGCTGAATACAAACATTAACGACACATTCACACAGGGTTAGCCTCGATGTAAAGTAAAATATTCAGAAATTCTGGCAAGTAAGTGTTTGAAATTTGAATATACACAAAGTAATAAACAGGTCTTTTTCTCGTTGAAATTTGTGAATATATTACCGTATTTATTCGAATAAGCGCCCAACCTCGAATTAGCGCCCACCTCGAATAAGCGCCCATCTTAAAGGTAAAAAAAGTTAATAAGCGCCCAGCCTCGAATAAGCGCCTACCCCACCCCACCTCCCTCCCACTCCGACTCAAACTCAAATAAGCGACAACCCCCACCCCACCCCCCAAAAATTGAATAAGTACTAATAAGAGACCTCCCCGAAGACGGAGTTTTCTTCAAAGTATTTCACAGGAACCTTGCCTTGTTACATCTTTGAGTTTTGTCATTACCATTTATTGTTTTGTTGCAAAATAAACATCCTACACTTGCTGAAAATGCTGAAAATTTAATAAGCGCCCAGCCTCGAATAAGCACCCACTCTCAAGGTCCAAAAATTTAATAAGCGCCCAGGGCGGTTAATCGAATAAATACAGTACTTCAGATGGAGGCTCAGGCTGTAAAAAATGTGTCTTCACTTTTTTAATTCAGTGGTCACAGTGAAATCGCAAATGGACTATTAGGGCTTATTTTTTAAGGCCTTCTAAAATTTAAAGGATTGTATTATTATTCCCAGTTTTGTGTCTGCTGGGCTTATTCATACTTTAGCTTTATACCCTGAGAGTCTCAGACTATATGACTGGTATGTGTTTCAGTGACCCAGATCGTGAACTTTTCTTGTGCGCTCACTTGCTGGACCTTTGCCGGACAGAAAGATAGTCACCAGACAAGAAGCATGTATGCCAACTTTCCCAGATTATCCAGAAGTCTCCCAGATATGGCACTGATCTCCCACTCCCCAATACACGTCACCAAATCTCCCAGATAAAATGGACTTTAGAACTTTTCTGCACTATAGTTTGAAATTTAGCCCATTTTTTTCTCAAAATTCGAACTTTTTATATTCATTGTACAGTTTCTGGGACATTTTTGCACATATCTATTCACTGAGAAAGATTACTTTGTCATTTATACAATGATGAAAGCAAATTTTGATAGCATGTAAGACTTCATAGAATGTCCTAAGCCATGGCAGCTGGGTCAATTTTTGGGGGGAGGAGTGGGGGTGGTGGGGCTGTTGACATTGGGGGGGAGGTAAGAAGTGCAAAATAGAGAGTCTCCAGATTTTAGATCACTGGAGGTTGGCATCTCTGAAAAAGCGTCTCAGTGCTGTCAACTCTCCCGGATAATCAAAGAGACTCCAGATTTTGGACCATATCTCCCAGTCTCCAGATTAGAGTCTGATATCTCCCAGATAATCACCCAAGTTGCTATTTCTTGTAGCCTCGACTTTATGAACATAAAATTTCAAACATCTTTCGTTGTTTAAGCTACTGTTAACATGGAACGTTTCCCCATGGTATGCCACTGTAATTTAAGCAATAATGTGGTTAAATATGAACTGTTTATGTGCTATATACGTCAATCGGAATCAACAAGCATTTTTGGTACAAATGACGTCATTTGCCGTGCGATATGATGTCATCTATCATTTCTTCCCCATCAATTATTATCAATATTTGAGACCTGGCGCCTCCCTGTAGTCCTCAAGATTTCGGGTTTGTAATAGGGCTTACAACCGTACTCCGTAAAAAAAAGTTTTGAAAATCATTAACAGCGAGATTTCTCAATTAAACATACATTCCACAAAAAGGAAAAACAAATTTTGGTCAGAACAACACGTGCGAAGTGCAAATTTTTACGGAAAACTTTAGACCTACCTTCACTTCTCTCCTCTTATTTCTTCCAGCCTTACAGCTCCTAGCCATCTTGGATATTTTTCGAGTTAATTCTACCCTAGCAGTGGAGACTAAAAATGGTAAGGCAAGGAAGTTAGTTTTAGCGGTTCGAATACAAGCGAGCGCCATCTTGGAAGACTTTGTAGACGACGGCGAGAGCCTGGGCAAAAATAAGGCACCAGTCCTTTTCATTCATTACCACAAAATGGCGGAGTTCAGAGCCTTATTCGTTTGGCGTTGATTTATCATTATTTTTCTTGTTAAACAGGCCGCGATTTGTGGAAAATTTAGTGTTTTTCGATAAAGGAAACACTCAGGTCATTAGAAATGAGCTCTTTATTGTTAAATCGGATTGATTTGTAACGTTTTTTAATCTCGAAAAACAAGTTTTTTTGTACGTGTATTGGTTTAGTTTGCTTAAGTACATCGTAGATAACAGTCTTAAGTGCGTCTGTTATGGATCTGAAAACGGTGAAAGAAGTTTTAGAGGTGAGTAATGACTTACAAGATGTTCAGAGTGTAAAAATGCAACCTCTTGTCATTTCTTAATTCTCCTTTTTTGTGTTTGTTCATCTGTAGTCATGCTGCAAATCAGAATCATCAACTAACATTCAGAAGTTGAAAAATGACAAAAACCTGATAAATGGAATAATTCAGAATTTACCTGAGCACTATGCACACCAGGTAAGGGGGGGACTCTCCACTTTTACTCTTTAATGTTATGTCTAAATAATAGTTATATATAGTTTTCTTTATTTCACGTTTATATCATTATTATTTTATATATTGACATATCTGTATTTTATTCATTTACTTATTTTTATTCATTTATTTATTTGTTTGTTTTTATTTTTACGGTTGGTGTGATAACCTAACGGTTTTTACCGACCTAATACATGTAAATGTAAATGTAAATGTGTAACAGTAGTGTTTATCGATTAACAGCTTTTAATTATTACAATTATTACACTGTTTTGAAACGTTCATTTATTTTGTTTCTCCCTCTGCTTTCTTCACTCCCTCTTTGGAAGGTGTGATTCTGACAGGCTCTTTTCCAAAGGGTCTCCATGTAAACTAGGCATGATACCAACAGCGCCCTCTGGATTCCTATACCCTAAAATAATAATACGAAGGAATGACGCTGAGATTCTGACACCTTCTACAGGATGAAATTCCAATGACCCCTTTGGGAAAAATGTAGTTTTGGAGGAGTATTCTACATGTACATGTACTCCCCATTATACAGTGTAGGACATAATTTATTCAGGTTAAATTTTTTAGCCTAGGTTGATTCTCAGTAACAGTTTCTTTTCTCTTCAAGCTATAATAATATTATTCCCAATTACGAATAATAATTATTCGGGAATAATCGGGAATAGTATTATTATAGCTTGAAGAGAAAAGAAACTGAGAATTTCCGCAGTAGGTTAAAAGTATCACTTGAATTTAATTTTGAACTACAGTTCTTGTTTAATAATTTTCTCTGACCTCAAGGGAAGCCAGTTACTGAACTAAGCTCTTTGTGTGTGACTTCATTTACAGTTAAGTGATCCAGTCTTCAAGAGTCTCTTTGAGTTGTTTCGACAAAGTGGAAAAGGAGAACAGCTGTTTGTTCTTCAGTTTGTTCCTGTGTTAATATGGACCTATTTGTCAGCTTCAACAAGGAGAGATGACAAGGTGTGGCTTCTATACACCTATTCAGGGTTGTCACTAGTTGCTGGGTAAATACAACAAGTAGGCGGGGAATCAAACGGCTAGGGATTTCTTTTGGTTCTATTTTCTTCCATTTTTTAATAACAGTAGCCGAGGGCCACTCTCTTAGTAGCCGGTGAAAATCCCCAGCCCCGGCTCTTAATTACAACCCTGCCTATTACTGCCAGAATGATTCCATCTAGCTCTCTTCATTCACTGTATACATGTTAAACGCCATGTAGCACCAAAACAGAATTAATGAAAAGAATGGATATAAAGCAACACATGTCAAAAGTTCTTTTTGTAAAATTAGCCAATCAGATCAGTCCATCGAACAGCATAAATTATCGTAATTCCAACAATATCAGGGTCAGGGGTTTTTTGTGTATTAAATTATTGCCCCCAAT